CCTTGGAGAAAAGATCCTAATTTACTTCCTGATAATAGAATACAAGCTGAAAATAAATTGGAATCAACTGAACGTCGACTGCTGAAATATCCTGTACATGCTGAAATTTATAATGGTCAAATTGAAGAAATGGTGGATATGAAATTCGCTAGAAAACTTACAGATTCAGAAATTACTGAATACCAAGGTCCTGTTCATTATATTTCCCATCATGAAGTTATAAAACCAGAGAAGAAAAGTACACCTGTAAGAATAGTATTTAACTCGTCTGCTAGTTTTAATGGTCACTGTTTGAATGATTACTGGTATAAAGGTCCTGATCTTCTCAACAATTTATTTGGAGTTATACTGAGATTTAGAGAAAATGAAGTGGTTATTTGTGGGGATATTTCCAAGATGTATCACAGAGTACTGATTCCTGTAGAAGATCAACATGTTCATAGGTTCCTGTGGAGAAATCTCAATGTTGAAAAACCTCCTGATGTATATGTCAAAACTGTATTGACATTTGGTGATAAGCCAGCACCTGCTATGGCTCAGATGGCTTTAAAGGAAACTGCTGAAGAAGTAAAATCTAATTTACCTGAAGCTGCTAAAGTATTAGAAAATGATGTTTATATGGATGATATATGTACTTCAGTTAAAACTGTAAATGAAGCTAGTAAACTGACTATTGATATTGACTCTGCATTAGCTAATGGTGGATTTAAAGTTAAAGGATTGATATCTAATAAAGTATTAAACTGCTTACCTGTTCCTGAAAATCAAGATTTGAAACTGTTGACTGATATAAATGAAGAAAAGGTTTTAGGAATCGTCTGGAATAATACTAGAGACACTTTTTCATATAAAGTCAAGATTGAATTTGCTGATCCTGTTTGTTTGACAAAAAGAAGAATTTTGAGTCAAACTGCTAGATTATTTGATCCAATTGGTTTTGCTGCTGCATTTTTGGTACGACTGAAGATTGGAATGCAGAAACTGTGGCAACTTGGTTTAGAATGGGATCAAACCTTACCTGAAAATTTGCAATCTGAATGGTTAAATTTGTTTGCTGAAATGAACAGTTTAAACGGTATAGAATTTGAAAGATGCTTGACACCTCCAGAAGTTGTTAACTTACCTGTACTTTGCATATTTTCTGATGCATCTGAAGAAGCTTTTGGTACCTGTGCTTACCTGAGATGGAAAACAAACTCTGATGAATACCATGTTAGATTTATTGCTGCTAAATCTAGAGTAGCACCTTTGAAGAAACTTACAATTCCTCGTTTAGAGCTACAAGCTGCTGTATTGTCTACTCGTCTTTATAAAACTATTATGGAAGAAACACGACTGAAATTTGAGAAAACTATTTTCCTGACAGATAGTATGATAGTTCTTGCTTGGATTAAAAGCCAAGCCAGAAAATACAAACCTTTTGTCCCATCTCGAATTGGTGAAATACAGAATACAACTGATCCTGCTCAATGGTATCATATTCGTTCACAAGATAATGTAGATGATGATATTTCACGTGGTATACCTGCTAGTCAATTAACTGAAAGATGGAAAAATGGTCCAAGTTTTTTATTAGAAGAAGAAGAAAATTGGCCTATTAACACTGTTAAAGTAGTTGATACTGATATGGAAATGAAAATTCGACCATGGAGTTTATACAAGTTTTAAGAAGATTTTTCAGTATACGTGGGACTTCTTTAATGTTAAGTGATAATGGTTCACAACTTGTTGGTGCTGAAAAAGAACTGAGACAAACGATCAAAGGATATGATGAAGAAACTTTAAAAGACTTTTGTGCTGAAAATCGAATGACGTGGAAATTTACTACTCCTGCTGCTCCACATCAAAATGGTTGCGCTGAATCTATGTTTAAAGTCTGCAAAACTGCTCTGAAGAAATCTGTTGGTGAACAATTATTGACTTCCTTTGAACTATATACTTACCTACTCGAATATGCTAATCTCGTCAATCAACGTCCAATAGGAAGAATACCCAATGATCCTGATGATGGTTCTTATATATGTCCTAATGATATTGCGTGCGTCAAGTCATGTACCACAAGGACCTTTTCGTGAAACTAAAAATCCTAGACATCGTGTGGAATTTGTTCAGAAATTAGTTGACTCTTTTTGGAAACAATGGAATAGAGATGTTTTGCCACTATTGGTACTGCGTAAAAAATGGAACACTGAAAAACGTAATGTTTGTGTAAATGACACTGTTATAATTCAAAATCAAAATGCTATCCGTGGAAAATGGACTTTAGGAAGAATATTAGAAGTTTACCCCGGAGCTGATAATCGTGTGAGAAACGTTAAAGTTAAAACCAAAGACTCTGAATATAATAGACCTGTTACTAAAATTTGTGTAATTTTGCCTGCAACTGAAGAATCTGATTTGGATGAGGACTAACGCCTCATCGGCGGGGAGAATGTTCTGCAAGAGACTATTGAATTGACTGTCCATGTTCCAAAATGTTTCCTTATATTTTTATAAGTTTAATCTGATCCGTACTTTTTGTAATAACCATGCTTCCGGTCATGGCCTCCAGTGTTGTCATGAATTCAAATAGTAAAAAGTAAAAAGTATATAACTAAAAGTAAAATAGAATGAATGTAGTGAATTAGATGCTCTGTAATTTAAACTAAGAAAAGAACCAACTGTATTATCAATCTGTTTTATTAACTCTATAGAATTGGCCAATTACCAGGGGCTTAGACCGGACGGCTTCATGCACTCTCACGATCCAAATATCTTACAGAATAACTTTATATGGCTATTTTATATGTAACCATTACCCAATTTCAGGAAATAGAAGATGATTTTCTGTTCGTTCGTTTATTGGATATCCAGACAATCGTTCTATAGCCTCACTAGTTTTGGAATTTCCGATCACATTAGCTCAATAATCACCATAAGATTTTTGCTTTACATTGGTCTGTGTTTGGTAAAGCTATGTACATGTTTCTAGTATTGGAATATTCAGGAATTAATTCTAAATCCCCATTAGCTTTGGTATTTCCGACCACATCAGCTTAATAATCAGAATAACAGCTGGGTTAACCACAATTCATTCATTCCTTCATTAGCCCGAGAACCTGGTTCAAAGCACTGATCTTTCCTTCTTTTTCTTTGTCAGCTAATGGGTTTACATTGTGACATCAGACTAGCGGTGTAACGTGACATAATATTGAATTCATAACAAACACAATATCAGAAACCTAACCCCGAGCGTTGCGGTTCTAAAAATTTGTCAAGAAAGTAAATAAATTATATAAAGTTGAAATATACCTGAAGCTCATCCCAGGTCAACTAGCCATTCAAAGCATCTAATCGACGTAGGCGATACGCCTATTGTAAAAACGGACCTACTACTTGCACCTGCAATCAATTTCAAGATTCTGACTGCTCAGACAAGATGAAAACTAGACCTCTCAGTCGTCGATGTGATCAGGTTGTCTAGATCCAGCGATCGGTCAAAGTCTCTG